TAAGTTGTTTGTAACTTTTCCCAGCTTTGACTGTTTGGGCTGAAATTTTCCACACCAGATGTCTGCCTCAGGCTGATGTTTTCTGAAAAATTTCAGCCAAAAAATTTCATTTGTTTCCAAGACCAGAGATGGGAAAAATAAATGGCTTTGTCAATGTTAAAAAATTCTGGTGACCTTTTCTTTAAGAAGCTTTAGCAACTTTACTTTGAAATTTGGCAGAACAATGACCTTTCTGTCAGAGATGTGCTTTTTGGTGCCCGTGAAAATCCACCCAAATTTGGCCAAGTTATAAGCCTTTAAAAAAAAAAATCACAGTTTGCACATGCTAAGCCCAGACTTCAAATTTTAGGCACCTGATCTGAGAGCAGGGAGCCTGTCTCTTCCGTGCTCTCAGTGACCATTCCCTCCCACCAATGAGCATGGAGAAGGAAGCAGTTTGATTTGAATGCTGATGGGACAAGAGATGGACTGGTGTGGGGGAACAGTTGAGGACAACAGTTTAGGAGGGCAGGACTGAAAGCTGGCAGGGGGAGGAGAGGAGCTCTGGTTTATTAATTCTTTCTACAGAGGGTAACTCCCGCTTCTTTAGTCGCTCAAGTTCATGCCCACTGTGGGTTCATATAAGAATCCAGGTAGGTTTTTCTTGTCCCTGTTCAGAAGGATTCCCAGCCCCCTTCTTTGAGTTGGAGTTGTACTTCAAACAATCCCTCTCATGACAGCAGCCCCTAGATCTCCTCCTTGGAGCTGGGAGTTGTAATTTAGGCAGTTCCTCTGTCTCACCTTCAGACAGGAGTCCTCCAACTTTCTTCCCTGCAGCTGGAGTTGTATCTTAGGCCAGCAATAAGGCCTTGACAAGCTTCTCCTTCAGCTGCTCTTTTCCCCAATTAATCTCAGGCTCAGAGGGTACAGCAGATAAGCCTTTTCTTGCTAGGAGGGAGGCGGCAGCATATCTGATGGGTCCCTTCCTGTAGCTCATCCCATCTGGCTGGGAGAGAGGGGAGCCTTGCTCTGCTCACTCTGCGAGGCTCCTGGTCCCAGGCCCTTAAAGAAACAGTAATGGGATTTCCACACACATTACTTATTCTCAGGACCGCTTCCTCTCTACCAATATGTCCTAGGTCATTGTATATATCAGACCTCCCAGATCATAAAGGGCCACGCCACATGACAGGGTGGCAAAGGTCATATGCATTTGGGATGTCCTGACTCCTGTCCAATATGCCCAACCAGCTTGCAAGCCACTAAACTGCTTGGGAAATTGTGTGTACTCTTTATAAAGTATATACAGTAGAACCTCAGAGTTACAAACCATAGAGTTACGAACTGACCAGTCAACCACATACCTCATTTGGAACCAGAAGTACATACTCAGGCAGCAGCGGAGACAAAAATAAAACCCCAAATACAGTACAGTGTTAACCATAAACTATAAAAAAAATTAAGGGAAAGCAGCATTTTTCTTCTGCATGGTAAAGTTTCAAAGCTGTATATGTTCAGTTGTAAACTTTTGAAAGAACAACCATCACATTTTGTTTTGTTCAGAGTTACAAACATTTCTGAGTTACAAACAACCTCCATTCCTGAGGTCTTTGTAACTCTGAGGTTCTGCTGTATTTCAATTTCCTTCACTCAACCCCAGCAATTACTAAAAAAGTTGCTTTTGATTTTACCGTGATTTTTTTTCCAACATACATATCCCACAGATTTGGCTTTTGTTTTCATTTTCACAAGACATAAAAAGGCTTTTGATTTTAAAAAAAGAAGTAGTTTGCATTTTTTCCCCTCTGACTGCTAAATATTGGCCTTGCTCTTCTTTTCTCTCTTCTGTTTCAACTTCTGTACCTCACACAAGCCCTCCTGTTCTATGGACTTACCTTCTTAAAGAAAGGCATCCTGTTTTCCCGATGGAAAACTCCTGTCCCCTCCGCCCCAATGTGCACACACATTTTTCAACCACCTCTACAGAACGCTTTAAGGCCCTGATCCGGCAAAGACTTATGCATGTGCTTAAATTTATACACTGTGATCCAGCCTCATTAATCACAGAATTATAGAAATGTAGGGCTGGAAGGGACGTCAAGAAGTCATCGAGTCCAGTCCCCTGTGCTGAGGCAGGACCAAGTATATCTAGACTGTCTTTGACAGGTGTTTGTCTAAGCTGTTCCTAAAAACCTCCAATGATGGGGATTCCACAGCTTCCTTTGGAAGCCCATTCCAGAGCTTAACTACCATTATGGTTAGAAAGACTTTCCTAAATCTCCCTTGCTGCAGATTAAATCCATTACTTTTTGTCCTACTTTCAGTGGCCATGCAGAACAACTGATCACTGTCCTAGCAAATTAACAGCCCTTAATATATTTGAGGACTGTTAACAGATCCCCCTTTGGTCTTCTTTGCTCAAAACTAAATGTGCGCAGTATTTTTAACCTTTCCTTATAGGTCAGGTTTTCTAAACTTTTTGTCTTTTTTTATTTTGCTTTTTTCTAGACCCTCTCCCGTTTGTCCACACCTTTCCTAAAGTGTGAAGCTCAGAACTGGATACAGTACTCCAGCTGAGGTCTCACCAATGCCGAGTCAAGCGGGGACAATTAATACTCGACAATTAATGGGAACTTTGGTATCGACTTCAGTAAGTGTAGGATCAAATCCTGTAAGACCATTTGCACAGCCCCTAGTGAAAGCCTACAGCTCCTACGGACTTCCAAGTAGAGTGCATTAAGGCTAAGTATGTGTATAAGGGCTTGTCCTCAGTACAGGGGAGATCCACGCTGCTGCAATCGATGCAACGGGCATCGATTTAGCGGGTCTAGTAAAGAGTGCTCTCTGGGCGACCCCAGTACTCCACCTCTCTGAGAAAAGTAAGGTAAGTCGACTAGAGAGCGTCTCCCATCGACACAGCACAGTGAAGACACCAGGGCAAGTTGACCTAAGATACCTCAACTCCAGCTACATTATTCAGGTAGCTTAAGTCGACTTATCCCAGTAGTGAAGATAAGCCTGAAGTCTTTCCAGGATCAGGTTTTAAGTGTCCACATACTAATGAGCAAGGTTCTTTTCACTTCATAAATATGACCATATGCAAACTGCCAGACAATTTATTTCAGGCTATGTAAAATACTCACTGTGTCTTCTCTATTGTCATTTATCTTGCTTTCTCTTTACATACCACTATCAAGCACAACTTGATCTACAAAATGCAGAAGCATGAGTCAGAAAGCATTCCTGATTTTGATTATATAATAACCTGAGATTTTAGACTTATGTTTAAATCAACTTTCTGTGTTTAGTTATTTACATTCAATTTCTAGTCTCAAACTTTACTATTTTGTTGTTGAAAGAACAAATATAAAGATCTGTGGCTTATTGTTAAGATTAAGTAAATAATTGTTTATGGATTTTTAAAAAATCTTTTGATTCTGCATTGTTATCATTGCAAGTGCTTAATCACAAAAGCAAACAAGCAACCAGATCCGCATAGTATACTGTGATTCATGCTAATTAATATACTAATAAGAAATAACATTGCAATCATATTATATTATGATCACAAACATTCTATAAACATTTGCTGGAAAAACAAAAAGTAATTTTTTTTATTGAGCTAAGCCCACACTCCCTGTGAATCAAAAGCTACCCCAAAAGTCCAATCTCCAATGGAGTTGCATTGATATAAAAGGAGAACAGAATTTAACATCAGAAGAGAGAGAATTTCCTTGAAATGGGATTGCATCTCAGGGGTCTCTGGATTCACAGCTGAAAGTTATTGGCAACTTTAGTTTGCAGGCATTCTCCTTTACTTTTGGGGTTCACGTGATCCTCACATATGGACTAACCCCACTGACTGGCACAAACTACATACGCATGTGTCATGTAAACATCTCCATGCAGTTCCATCTACCCAGAATGCCCCTGCTACTTCAGTTCTAAAGGAGATAATTATGGAAATCTTCGTAGTGGGTTTTGTGATATGAACCTGAAGAAGCCCACAAACCCTTTTTTATTTTGTGATTCAGGTCTCTAGAAGTGAAAATCTCCTCACTGGCTCTCAGTAAGAGATTAAAACTCCCCCCCCCCCCCCCCCCCCCCAAAAAAAAAAGACAGGAGGGGGATTTTAAAAACGAATAGCAAATTCTCGGTGCTCACAAGAAACTAAATGGCTGATTATAGCAGCTTTATGGATATTGGGAGATAATACACTTGTTTTAGAAACAAAACAGTGAGTTATCAAAACATTGCTTTACCAAGACATAATAGGTTATCACCTTCATCACTTTACTTGCATGTTGTACTTCTCTTCCCTACCACTTCTCTGTTATCTTTTCTCATATAAGATTTTTGAGGCGAGGACTGTGTGTTCTTTTACATTTGGAAACTCACCTAACCCTATGGATGGTAGAAACAAACAAAAATCATTAGGCTCTTTGGCATTTCCAACATACATTGGAAAGTTCTATCCTTGGTTTTCGCTGATCTCCTTCTCTGTTGGACTACAATACCTCTTCCTGGAATGCAGAAGTTTTGCCAACAAATTACAGTAACATAACCCACAATATGATCCTTGGAATTCTACGTTGGGTGGCATTTATTTTCTGCATCTTTTGCCATTACTAAAAACGATGGACAATCACAGGTGATGGGAGGAATCTGGGCAGAAATTGCAGTAAGGGAAAAAGTTACATTAAAATGTCTCTCTTTTTTTCCCCTTTAAAAAGCTCGGAGGTATCCTTCCCCCTTGCGTGACCTGCACAAACTTGCTGCTGTCACTCCAGTGCCCGCGGCTGGCACAGGAAAGCCAGGTTCCCTCTCAACCTAAGGTGAGATCACCTGGACAAAGATGATGTGTATGTACTACAATGTTCCAAACTCTAGGAGGAAACCTTTTGTGTTGTCATTTATTGTAGCAACGGACCCAGGCAACTGCGTGAGTCCCTAGTGACCGTGCAAAGCCGAGCTCCTCCTGGACCTTCAAACCAAGAGAAAAAGGTGGTCACAGTCTTGCCATGGGCTGCGGCAGTTCCAGCAAGGTAGAGATGGTGCAACCATCAGTCAAGGAGCTGCCAAATGGCTGGGAAGCCAAGACCCAGGTAACAACTTTTCCCAAGCAGATGGGGAACAGAATGTTACAGGAGAAGCCTGAGTGGGTAGGTAGGTCGGTAAGTAGGAAGAAAGAAAAAAAGCTCCCTTTGGGCAACTCTTTATATCAGCCCTTAACACAGAGTTTACCCAAGCTGGTGCAAGCCTGGCATTGCAGGGGCACAGGCAAGGCAGGCTGTATGTCTGTGGATATGAGTTTATTGATTTTAACGATTCTTTATGGGGGCTGGAAGGGTTTTTTAATATGCTCCCTCACTCCTCTAAATAAGGGTGCTAGATCCCTTTAGTTGCACCTTCCACATCAGTGATGAATGATCACGTATGTGTAGGTCAGTCTGACCCAGAAGATTATATATTACAATACCTGAGGGGACTCTGGAGTGGCATGTGCACATGAAGATGGTATGTTGCATATTTGCCCACCTGCTTTGAGAGGTTACATTGTGCTATGGGAGTGGACAATGAACTCGCCACCACATGCAGGGAAATTTTTTTAGTTTCATTGGGTTCAATGGTGTGTTCTGTATGCAGCAGGTACGCAACTTCCTTTACAGGGTTTGTGTCCTATCATTGAAGGAAGTTGCAAATGTGTCCTGTGTCATCCTCCTCTTAGAAAAGAGGAAGGGCACGAGTGCAGGAGAGTGGCACGCTGAGCAGCATGTAATGGGGAGAGTCCGGTTGCCAGCGTTGCCCTGTCACCAGCCTTGTCAGTACCAGCTGCACACTGTCATGGACACAGCGTAACAGAGGGGCACAGAAATTTTGCCCAACCAAGGGCTGCCTTAGCCACTTGCTGGGATCGTGCTTAATTGCCATAAAATGGAGCACACGATTGTTGCCCTTCTTGCTATTGCAGAGTTACAACCAAAAGCATAAATAAATAAAATACATTTAGGGCCCAATCCTGCATTCCTTGGACACCCGAAGCTGCCACTGAGTTTAGAATGAGGAAGGCATGCAGAATGGGATCCTTAGTAAGTGACAATTTAAGACTCCTGAATGTTTATTGTGGTCACATCTTCCTACATATTTCCAAACAAAGCTTAATTTAGAATTGTCTCAAGACTTTATCTTTTAATGTGATCAAGGACACAGCCAGATGTGAGGTCATTGCTTCCGTTCTTGAAATTCTTCTTCATTTCATTACCATAGCTGATAATCTGTGAGAAAATATGGCTCACTGTCAGGACATTTCAGGAGCAGCATAGATGCGCAGAGCTGGGTTCTGCTCCGCTCTAAGCCTGATAGTTTTATGGAGCTATATTAGGAACTGTCTGCTTATAAATGGCATTAAATTTCCCCAAGTGCCTTTCTCGTGTATTTATTTCTTTTTCTTGCAGGCTAATAATGACCCATCTCAGAGAGCAGCTGGCTCCACCCTTCAGGATTGGTCCACTGTGTCAAAAGCCACCTTAAACAGTGGAGTAAAACTTGATGAACTCAGTGGGGGAAATTCACCTGGGGAAGGTCCGGAAAGGTTACCTTCTCTTAGAGAAAAAAATAACAGGCAAAACACAGGTAAACAACCGAAAACCTCATAGCAACCAAAAGGAAGGAGATACAGAGCCATTCACCCCTTTGAGCCCACTGCTGCAAACAGTTACTACACAGTGCATTGTAATGTCCCATTGACTCCAAGCATTTACAGGGCTGCTCTCCCTAATCAGTTGTTCAAATCTGACCCAAGTCAGTAATATCCAATTACCGGTTTTTCCTCTGTGTGACTCAATTCTCACAATTGTAACAGACAGTAATTTTCACCCTTGTTGAAAGGCTTGTTGAATGGATCGTGGAGAATGAACTCCCACATCACTCCTACAAAAGGTCCCGTTCCTCCCAGACAGGGTTGTGACATATTGGCATTGACCCTGCCAGTGTTGTTCCGGTTTTGTGGCTAAACAGGGGAGTAGTTTGGCCTTTCACATGCACTAAATTCACATTAAAATTAAGGAACAAAATGGAAATAAACATTTAGGGGCAGATCCTCTGCTGGTGAAAACTGTCATAGCTCCAGTGAAGGCAATAGAGCTATGTAAATTTACACCAGCCAAGGATCTACCCCAGACTGTGTAAGTGCAAAAGGGAACATTCAGCTTTGGCCCTTGTATAAGTTTAAGACACTTTAGCAGTGGTAAGAGTTGCTAAACTAACAGGAGACATTGGTACACATTAAAACACTTATTTTGCCGTTTAAATCCCCTATTTGCCTGTCTTCTAAGTACTAAGAATGGTTTGAATTTCATAAACATACTTAGTCAAACTGAAAGTCTAAAGTAACTGTTCTTTGTCACAAGCAAGGTCTGTAATAAAACAGTGTTTCCAAGTGAACATTAAAGGAATAAATACTGGAGTTTGTTGCTTTTTAAAAACAACTTAAATTCCATTCCCATGTCTCTTGATTTCCTCCACTTTAAAATTAAACAGCTCTATTTGCCTGAGAACTTTCTGTGTAAGATATATAGCTAGACTGATAAATCTAAATGGGTAAAATTGTGTTTTGGGGTAACATGTTTTTTACACACACACACACACACACACACAATTAAGGAAATACGTAAGTCAAAGTCGTTACAGCAAACTTTATTTGCCCTCACTGAAAATACTTGGAGCCCTTCAATAGAAAAATGCTATGTAAGCACAAACAATTATTACTAGCATTCACACTCTGAGGGTTGAGTGCTTTATAAATATGGATTGTAGTACTAATAATTTAATTCATATTTTGTGATAAACATAATGTTTTGGTTATGTTTAACTTCATATTTGTCCCTCTCTCCACTGTTGAAATCATACAATTAAACATTGCTTTATATTTTACATAATGAATCATAGTTTTGATCACAGTAGTAAGTGAAATATGTTGAGAAAATGTCAATGTGATTACATCTTTTGTCATTTTTCTTGCTATATTTAAAATACTTTTATGGGGCCTATTATAATGGGCATTATACACATTTCCTAATTTTTTGTTACAGAACAACAAAATATAATTTTTGTTCCCAAGACATCAAGGTCCTGCATTCCAGAAAGTTTGCTGAACACACAAATGCATGCTTGTTTTTCACACACACTATTGAGTATGCTCCCATATATACAACAGCATGCAGACAAAGGATTTTTCTTATCTGCACATGTGTGCCTGCAAACATACTGGCCAAAAATTGCTAAGCTATTCATAGAGTGTCACTCATTTAGAAATATAAAGTAAAAGAGAATAAAAGACCAATGATACTTTTGAGATTACAGTTCAGAGGGGGTCTTCAAAAGGAAGTTGGGAGTGGCTAACTCATTGCTTGGAAAATGTTAATTTTAAAGGGGTATGTCATAATCATACAGCTAAAGGCAGCCTAGAATTCCTCCTTACCTGTAAGGGGTTAAGAAGCTCAAATAGCCTGGTTGGCACCTGACCAAAAGGACCAATGGGGAAAGAAAATACTTTCAAATCTGGGGACAGGGAGGAGGCTTTGTTGGTGCTCTTTGTTTGTGTGTTCTCTGGGGAAGCAGAGAAGCATCAGGTCAGAAAACTCCTTCTCCTAAAATCATCCTAAAATGAGTCTCAATATTGCAAAAGAGTAAGTAAATAAGGCAAGGCGCGTTAGATTATCTTTTGTTTTTAGCTTTTGAATTTTCCCTGTGCTAAGAGGGAGGTTTATCCCTGTTTTTTTTTAACTTTAAAGTTTTGCCTAGAGGGGAATCCTCTGTGTTTTGAATCTGATTACCCTGTAAAGTTACCTTCCATCCTGATTTTACAGAGGTGCTTCTTTTACTTTTTTTTCTTTATAATAAAGTTCTGTTTTTTAATAATCTGGTTTACCTATTTGGTTGGTAGATTATTCTCAAGCCTTCCCAGGAAAGCGGGTGAAGGGGCTTGGGGGGATATTTTAGGGAAACAGGAACTCTAAGTGGTCCTTTTCCTGAATCTTTGTCTAACTCACTTGGTGGTAGCAGCAGTACCCATCCAAAGGGCAAGGAAGGATTTGTGCCTTGGGGAAGTTTTTAACCTAAACTGGTACAAATAAGCTTAGGGGGTCTTTCATGTGGGTCCCCACATCTGTACCCTTGAGTTCGGGGGGGGGGGGGAACCCTGACAGGGCATTACCCAATATGGCCCTTCGTTAACTGAAAGAGTACATATCCTTTTAGCCCACTTAGTCTGTGAGCACATAAGCCTGTTTTTGCTGGCACATTTTTGGAAGCTGGTTGGAAGGCTGGCCCCCTATGATTTTTCGGTGACAGCTTCAGATGATTGCTAAAGTCATCTTTGGGCAGGTCTGATCTCAATATTCTGAAAAACTAACCCTGTACAGGCTTACTGTTCTTGTTTTCTCACAATAAAATACATCAATCGGATTTTCACACCACTCATGAAAAAGTGACAGATGTCAAATAACTGTGATTCTGATGTGGTCCAAGTCATCTCATAAAAGCCCTCACTTTTGCTAATGTAGATGGTGTAATTGCAAACCAAGGGATGCAAACCTGATCTATCTTGGCAACGAAGTGCTTCCTTGTTTATCATTCATGTCTAATGTGTGGAAACCTAACAGCAGTTTAGAAGGGTTATCAAAATATTTTTTTATTCTTATAAAAGAATTCATCCTTATGCTGTTTATAAATATATAATTAATACAGAAAACAAATGTAATCAGACGCAAGTGTATACACTTTCTTACAATGAAATATAGGTCATGGAAGCATGTGAAAGGTTTTTGTTTCTGTTTCATAGATGGCAATGGTCTATAGAAAGCTCATTGTTAATGGATAATCTAATCTCATCCAAAACTGGTAGAGTTTTCTAACTGGCTCAATGAATCTTTTAAAATCTGAATTACAAGGACTCACTAAGGCCCAGTTCAGGACAGCATGTAAATATTGACTTCCATGGGACCTCACCATATCCTCAAGTGCAAGTGCTTTCCTGAATAGGGATGCTTTCCTGAATGTTGGCCTAAGAGGCCACAGTGTGCAATTCATCCGATGCAGAGGGCCAGCACAAAGCCAGTGCATCAGTTAAGACCACTTAAAACCTTAATGCAGAGTTTAAGTGATGCATACGGCTTTGTGCATTGGGCACCCTCAGTAAATAAATACATGGAGAAGTTACAGGATTGGAAGTGACATTGAAATTAAATTGGTGAATTGATCTCAGCTCTGTGAGAGTAATAATTTTAAACATTTTCTTTTTAAAGACATCATGTTACTCAGTGGTGGATTTGTCAATAAACCGATGCACTTACAGGAATGGGAGAGGCAAAAGTCATCAGATATCCTTGAGGAGCTGATGATGCAGGGAATAATCAAGAGCCAAAGTACAACTTTTAGAAATGGAGAAGCAGATGTCAAGGCAAGTATCTTATCAATGCCATTCAAAACCTTCGACAATCACTAAAGGCCTGATCATACAACGAGCTCTATACTGATCCATCACTACACCCACACAGAGCCCATTGCAATTAGTGCAGCTCTGTACAAAACTCCTTTCAAGAGAGGGACCTACATGATTTAGAAATAAGAAGTCGGATGACAGAGAAATATACTATTAAGAAGCTAATTTTAATGCAGAGGAAGCTCACCGATAGCTCAGTGTTTGAGCATTGGACTGCTAAACCAGGGTTGTGAGCTCAATCCTTGAGGGGTCCATTTAGGGATCTAGGCCAAAAATTGGGTATTGGCCCTGCTTTGAGTAGGGGGTTGGACTAGATGACCTCCTGAGGTCCCTTCCAACCCTGAGATTCTATGACCACAACTTTGTTAATTTGTTTGCACACCCCCATGCTGGCCTTAGGTGGGGAGTTGCGCTGATTGTCCATTGTTAGAAATGCTCACTGGAAATTGAATATCGCTGAATTGTTTTTCAAATCAGCAAATATGTGGCAGAAGTTAATTGACATCATCTACTTTCAGTCTTTTACTATTTGGGGTTGACAATTACAGCTAAATCAAGATTTTATCAAATATCTGAGTCTCTAAGTAATCCACAATTCATGTCGGATCCCACATCCAAAATTTATTTAAAAAATGAAATTCATTTTTATGAAACACAAATTTGAACAAAATCTGTATCACTATTTATTTTAGTAAAATACGGTGCTGCTTTTCCCTCCTGTACCTGCAAAATTTCTTTTTCCTGTCAAACATTATTCTAGGGACTAGATTCAAGATAAGCTCATGGATATCCACATGTAAGGGAAGGGAAGTTCACAAGAAGCTCATGGACAGTTTGTGGATACAAACAAAATGTGATCAAACCACTGCTGGTTCATGGACACAGCTCAAACCCAAACCAAGGATAGTTTTCAGTAGTTTTGTGGTTTGAGGCAAACCATTCACCCAGCTCTAGTCTTGACTACTTGTGTAATTAAAGAACTAGAGCTTTGTACAAGAAAAAGTACTTGGGTACTTGCTTATCCAGATTGCAAGTCTGGGCATGGAAGGAGAGAATGCCCTGTGCAACATCTCTTCCCCTGGGCAAGCAGCTGGGGAGTGGATGGCTACAGCCCTACAATCGATGTTGAGGGTTTCTGTGGAGTTTGAAGGATTAGGTTTGCCTAGCCTCCCCCCAGCAGGTTTTTGCATATCTGAATGGGGTTTGCCTTCCTCTGATCCCCTCTCTGGCTAAAGTTGGTTGCATTTTTTGTTCATCACCCAAGTGAGTGCTGTCTGTTCTATTGTTTTTTTCACACTAATAGCTACTCAAACATTCAGATTACATGTAGCATTTTATTGACTTCAGCTAACCTTTATCTGTTCTCCTTTGACGTTTCTTTGTTTGTTTCCCGCAAGGATATATTTTTTTTAAATCAATAAAATTTTTTATTGGAGGGAGCAGTTTTCATTTCTAGCCATCTTATCACTTAATATTTTAATTTGGAGCTGGTTCTGCTTCCTTCCTGAGCAGCCTGATAGCGGGAACACAGATTTGTCACGAGGGAGTTAACTATCAAATATTCCTCAGTTGCATTGGAGAACTTGGCCTGCACTACATCCTGTAAGAGCAATCTTCTCTGAGACTACCCACTCCATCGTAGCTGTAAAGTAGCTGATTGGGAACATAATCCCAACGGGGTATTACCAGAGTGTGTCTCAGAGACTGAATTCTGGGTGGGTGAGGTTCTGTGGCCTGTGATATGTAGGAGGGCAGACTCTATCGATCTGTCTCAACCGTCACCTGGTGTATTCTGTTACTAGTCCCCTGAGTCATCCAGTCACCAGATTCTATCACAAATAACTCTGCAAGTCAGGCCTCCATGTCAGAAGAATCAAGTAATGCAATTAGTATGGAGGATGACTCACTTAATGTGACTGAGGTGGATGAGGAAATCAGTAGGTGACAATAATGGAAGAAATTTGATCTACTGAAGAGACCTTTTGCATGCAAACGATGCACCAAAAACTCATGAACAATGAAAAAAGCTAATGTACTCAATGCTTTTTTTGCCTCTGTCTTCACGAACAAGGTCAGCTCCAAGGCTACTGCACTGGGCAGCACAGCATGGGGAGGAGGTGACCAGCCCTCTGTGGAGAAAGAAGTGGTTCGGGACTATTTAGAAAAGCTCTGGACGTGCACAAGTCCATGGGGCCGGATGCGTTGCATCCGAGAGTGCTAAAGGAGTTGGCGGATGTGATTGCAGAGCCATTGGCCATTATCTTTGAAAACTCATGGTGATAGTGGGAGGTCCCGGACAACTGGAAAAAGGCTAATGTAGTGCCCATCTTTAAAAAAGGGAAGAAGGAAGATCCTGGGAACTACAGGCCGGTCAGCCTCACCTCAGTCCCTGGAAAAATCATGGAGCAGGTCCTCAAGGAATCAATTCTGAAGCACTTAGAGGAGAGGAAAGTGATCAGGAACAGTCAGCATGGATTCACCAAGGGCAAGTCATGCCTGACTAATCTAATTGCCTTCTATGACAAGATAACTGGCTCTGTGGATGAAGGGAAAGCAGTGGACATGTTGTTCCTTGACTTTAGCACAGCTTTTGACATGGTCTCCCACAGTATTCTTGCCAGCAAGTTAAAGAAGTATGGGCTGGATGAATGGACTATAAGGTGGATAGAAAACTGGCTAGATCGTCGGGCTCAACGGGTAGTGATCAATGGCTCTATGTCTAGTTGGTAGCCGGTATCAAGTGGAGTGCCCCAAGGGTGGGTCCTCGGGCCAGTTTTGTTCAATATCTTCATAAATGATCTGGAGGATGGTGTGGATTGCACCCTCAGCAAGTTTGCAGATGACACTAAACTGGGAGGAGAGGTAAATACGCTGGAGGGTAGGGATAGGATACAGAGGGACCTAGACAAATTGGAGGATTGGGCCAAAAGAAATCTGATGAAGGACAAGTGCAGAGTCCTGCACTTAGGACGGAAGAATCCAATGCACCGCTACAGACTAGGGACCGAATGGCTAGGCAGCAGTTCTGCAGAAAAGGACCTAGGGGTTACAGTGGACGAGAAGCTGGATATGAGTCAACAGTGTGCCCTTGTTGCCAAGAAGGCCAGTGGCATTTTGGGATGTATAAGTAGGGGCATTGCCAGCAGATCGAGGGACGTGATCGTTCCCCTCTATTCGACACTGGTGAGGCCTCCTCTGGAGTACTGTGTCCAGTTTTGGGCCCCACACTACAAGAAGGATGTGGAAAAATTGGAAAGAGTCCAGCGGAGGGCAACAAAAATGGTTAGGGGGCTGGAGCACAGGATTTATTAGGAGAGGCTGAGGGAACTGGGATTATTCAGTCTGCAAAAGAGAAGAATGAGGGGGGATTTGATAGTTGCTTTCAACTACCTGAAAGGGGGTTCCAAAGAGGATGGCTCTAGACTGTTCTCAGTGGTAGCAGATGACAGAACAAGGAGTAATGGTCTCAAGTTGCAGTGGGGGAGATTTAGGTTGGATATTAGGAAAAACTTTTTCACTAGGAGGGTGGTGAAACACTGGAATGCGTTACCTAGGGAGGTGGTGGAATCTCCTTCCTTAGAAGTTTTTAAGGTCAGGCTTGACAAAGCCCTGGCTGGGATGATTTAATTGTGGATCGGCCCTGCTTTGAGCAGGGGATTGGACTAGATGACCTCTTGAGGTCCCTTCCAACCCTGATATTCTATGATTCTATGACATGTTCAGTTGTCATAAAAACCTAAAATGGGACAAAATGATGCTCTGAAAATGGTCGTCTTATCATTCACGAAGAAGGCCATTCTAACAGTGTCCAAAAGTGGAAACACTAGAGTACCAGGGCCCGAAATTGGGACAGAGGCAGGGTCTGATACTGGGTTTGGGAAGGCCCTGTTATACTTGTCTCTTATTTGTACTGTAGAGTGCCAGCACAACTGAGAGGCTGGGGCAAAAAATTCCAATTCCTGTTTGCAATCCTCCTCCTCCCCACAAACTCCATGCTGTATACCACAGCAAGTTTTAATTCATGCTCTTAGCTTTAGGAGGGCAAAATGCAACCAACCCTCAATGCAAAATGTGAAAAAGTCTTATAGTTTTTTTCATTAAACATAGGTGAAAATCCAGGCAGTGATTGGAATAAATAAGATTTGAGTAGGACCCCTATGTTTCAAAGGCTGAAAGTTGTTGAGAGAGATTTCTGCTTGTCAGAATGCTTCATTTAAACGGTTGTTATAAGTTGTATCAGACTCCACAGCACCAAAGTGTTCTGAATTGCTGTTTACAATCTCAACAGCTATTTCTTCTATCCAAACTTAAGTGTGGAGACCATAAAAATGGTGAATGGGGAATACATACTCTAACTAAACAGGAAATTCAAACAGCAGAACACTTCCCAACTTGCCCAGCATTCTCACAAATCAGGGGAAAAAAAACAACCTTATCTCCCAGCTGGATTCCTCAGTAAGGGGATATCATAATGGGTTTCAAGGAGTCCACAAATGAATGACACCAATAATGGACAAAGAGGAAATATTAACATGATTGAGGAACACAGTCTATTGACAATTAGGAACTTATAATAAGCGAATCAAATACCTGCAGTTTGCCCTACTTGAAATCCATAGCTTTCCGGTTAATTTATTCTAGCTTCTCTCTTAATGAGATAGTGTTTATTCCTAAAACAGATTTGGAAAGTGGGTATTTTGCTATTAATGATTTAGTTATAATAATTTTTAAGTGTTCAGCCTTCCTGTATAAATGGCAAGGGTTGGGGGGAAATAGGGGAATGTGAGTTTTGGACAAAAGTTTTAATGTGACTGTTCCTGAAAGAGGAAGAAACCTCTTCATAGATAAACTCAGCTAAACTCTTTCAAAGCACAGGGAGGAAAATCTATCCTCTCTTGACTCGAGTATTGATGATGGTTATGTTTTTGTGCTGAAATGCTAAAAAACCATCACCTGGGGGATATATCAATGCAGTGCAACTTGGTTATCAGTATTTTAAGTAGTTCTCTTGGTTCTATGATTCCTGTTAGAATTCAATTGACTAATTTATATTGTAGCAGAGAGTGGCTCTCTCTGACATTTATTGCCATAACATTTCTCGCTGTCTCTATCAATGGTGTAACTCCACTGGTGGCAGGAATGCTTAGAATACAGGGCTATCTAGTCAGTGGGTATTTTAACCACAGGCTCACCTAGGTCTGCTCTGTGCAGGGAAAGACAATGTGGTGATTAAAACACTGATGACTCCCAAGATTGCTACCCCACAGGCGGAGCTGCATCAATAAGAGCACTATGGGAAATGCTATAAAACAGGGGTGGCCAAACTTACTGACCCTCTGAGCCACATATGACTGTCTTCAGAAGTTCAAAAGCTGGAGGGCGCCTGCCCAGCCTTGGGGCTTCAGCCCTGGAGGGGGACGCCTGCCAGGCCTCAGGGCCTCAGCCCCCCAGGGAAGGGGGTCTCACGGCCTCAGCCCTGTGGGAGGCACCTGCTGGGGCTTGGGGCGCCCCACGGGGATGAAGACCTGAGCCCCAGCAGGTGCGTCTTGCAGGGCTGAAGCCCTGAGACCCTCCTCCCCACTGGGCAGGCAAAGGCAATGCGTGGGGGGATACATGGGGATTTTTGCCAGGGTTTGCTGTCCCTGCTCGCTCACATGACAAGGCCTAAAGGGTGTGTAAACTGTTGAGATTAGGCATGTAAGCACAGAAGGGATGGGTTCCTGCTGGGATGGCTCAGTCTTCAATATTTCTCTGCAAACTATTCTTGAAACCAGCTGTGCAAGTCTCTCACAGTGGTGTCTTGTTCATGTGTGTTGTGCACTTCTTTCCTCTCCTTCCATGATTCTAGCGCTGACTCTAGATTTTGCAAGTGCCCCTTGCATTTGTGCCAGGGCAGCTCAAAACTTCAGATCTGAATATCCCCAAATGTTGGGTGATCAAAATCCAGTTTTAAATCATAGAAACACAGTGCTGGAAAGCACTCTGAGAGGTCAACTAGTCCATCCCTAGCACACTGAGGTAGGACCAAGACCTAGACCTAGACCATCCCTGACTTTGGTTAACCTATGCTTCAAAACCTCCAATGATGGGGATTCCACAGTGTCCCTTAGAAGCCCATTCCAGATCTTAACTACCTTTATAGTTAGAACATTTTTTCCTAATATCTAACCTAAATCTGCCCTGCTGTAGATTAAGCCCATGACTTCTTGTCCTTCCTTCAGTGGACATGGAGAACAGCTGGTGACTCGATGACTCAGGGGACTAGTAATAGAATACAGATCTTTTCACCAGAGGTTATTAGTTGGAATTCAGAAGTGACAGAAACTTGTTGCCATTTGATATCTGTTTGGAAGATGGATAACTGGTCCCCATCCAGTTTTCTCATCCCAAAGTAACCCCACTGTTATTGACAAAGGGGAGGTCACAGAGAGAACAGGCATGGGAGAATGAACTTTCATCCTGGAGATAGCCCACACCAGGTGAGGGTTGAGACAGATCGACAGAGCAGCGTGGGGTTGCACAACTGCTTCCTACAGGCATAAACAGCAGAATTCAGTCTCTGAGGTTGTCAAACATGACTTCAGTGTCACAGCAGCAACCACTATACTCAGCAATAGATAGCTACAAGACTGGGCTGCTAATTTGCACATATTGAAAACCAGCACTACATTTTTAAAGCGATTATAAAGTTACAACAAAATCTTTTATAAGCCTCTTCAGTTTCAGTTGCTTAATCTTCCCAATACATGGGGTCTGACTTTACTGTCCTTACTAATATGGATGAGACAGTGAAACTATCACTTCAGTAAGTTATCACCTACAGGAGTAAACTGCATAATTGAGTCTTTAGTTATTTAATGTGTCACTGCTTCCAGCCTTTTTTATGTCCAAGTTAACCACTTAATTTCTGCACAAAGAGGCACGAAGGGGCTCAGCACAAGTGGAATGAGATTCAGCTCCTTCCAGTGCCAGCTCCCACTGCACTCATGATACTGTCATTTTTTTAAAAATGTCTTTCGACAGAGCGAAGCCCTGGAAAAGCCACTAAAGAAACCACCAGCCAAGCTGGAAAAGCTTAAGATCGAAAAGAAGGAAGTGAATGCTTTAACAATGAAGGACATTAAGAATTCTGCCGAAGAAAGAAGCGAGGTAATTTAATTTTGCTGCATAGGATTGTTTTGTCTTCTAAAAAACACCTCCCATTTAAAATCTGAGCTAGTGGAGGCTGCATCTCCGAAAAATGCTAGTAAAACATGGACATCAATGTCACAGGAAGGAGCATCCCTCTCAACAACAGATGTCTGCAGGACTGTTAAACTTTTCTGTTTTTCAGTGTTTGAAGACTGTGCTGAAGATAGGGACAAAAAAGGAGAATTCTAGAATAGCATTTTTCCATTTTCTGCAGCAAAATACATAAAACCCAGTTTTTGAGAGACATTTTATTTCTTTTGTGCAAACTGACCAAATTCTGAATCAGTTGGAGTAAAATTCCAGTTAAACTCAGACGGAAAGGTAAAAGCTACTGTTAAAGTGTGTGTTCAAATACAGTTTATTCCTACCCCCCCCACCCCATTACAAAGCAATATATTTTTCAGACTAAAGAAGAGCAACCGAAAGAAAGACTTCAGAGTAGGAGACTTTTTCCAGCAATTGCCCATCAAAATATAGCTGAGCTGAATGAGGAAGGCTATTCAACTTCTGAAGGTCAAGAACATACAAAAATTGTTCAGCCTTTATCATTCGACCTGGAGACAGAGTCTCTGCTGGAGAAGGAAGAAATAGCTGTCGAAATTGTAAACAGCAATTCAGAACACTTTGGTGCTGTGGAGTCTGATACAACTTATAACACCAGTTTAAATGAAGCATTCTGACAAGCAAAAATCTCTCTCAAACACATTCAGCCTTTGAAACGTAGGGGTCCTATTCAAATCTCATTTGTTCCAATCATCGCCTGGATTTTCATCTATGTCTAATGAAAAAAACAATAAAACTTGCTCCCATTTTGCATTGAGGGTTGGTTGCATTTTCCCCTCCTAAAGTTAAGAGCATGAATTGAAATGTGTTGGGTTACACAGGTATGGAGTTTGTGAGCAGAAGAGGACGGCAAACAGGAAGTAGAATATTTTGCCCCAGCCCCTCAGTTACGCTGACACCCTACAATAAAAATAAAAGACAAATATAACAGGGTTTCTGCAGACCCAGTGTCAGAATCTGCCTCTGCCTCAGTTTCCCCACTCATATTAGAGAGTGAGTCACCTTGGTGTCCAGTGTGTTAATGAAGCTCCCACCAGGGTCCATATTTCCTTCCTTGTTCTGAAGGATGCATCCATGGTTCAAATACAATCATAGTTCAACATCAATCACGACAGGTAAACCAGGTCCCGCCACTTGGCCTCAGCGGGTTGTTGTTGCTGCTGCCTATGGAGCAGGCATCCCCAGACATCTCTTCCACCTTGCTGGTGTGTGGCTTCCAGGTCCTTTCCCTGACTCAGGGTCTCCTACAGGAGCCTCTCAAGAGCTCTCCCTCTTAGTGAGACGTGTGCTGGCCTTTCATCTCACACAGTTGGGAAGCAGGTGATTAATCGCAGGTTGGGGCTAAGCCCACCTCCCTAGAGGGGGCATCCTACCCTGTGACAACAAGTTTACAATCTAACTGTAGGTGTGACAACAATTGAAAGTAACAAAAAAGATGAGGAGGGAGGGGCAAGGAAGCGCTCAGGTTAAAGTAGTGACCTGGTTACTCCGTCTTGGCATTACACACCTTGATGCTTCCATTAAAATCATGTTTTTAATTTATTAGGAAGGCATGTGGGAGATTTCTTTGTTTAGGGAGGACGTGAGTGAGGAGAGAGTGGTAGGTTAGCAAGTACGGAGTGGGAGGGAATTGTATCCCAGGGCCATGTGTAAATAAAGAAAGGCAAATTAAGGGTAAGGGGTTGTAACAGGGGTGGTGGAATGGGATAGTAGGCAAGGCCAGAGTGGGGTATGGCCCTGATGTAAGAACAAGAAGTTTGAACCTAAAGTGAAGGGCAATGGGGAGCCAGCAAAGGGATTTAAACAGAGGGATGACAGGGTCTGAACAATAGGAAAGGACGATGGTTTTAGTGGCAACATTCTGTGCTGGTTGGAGGGAGGCAATGTGGATATCAGGAGAGCACCAGTGAGAACCAGGGGGCTGGGGCTGGGGCTGGAGATAATTAGGGTACATGATTTAGCCATCAGGAGAGCAGAAGGTCTGGGCTTTTTGTTTGCTATTGTGAGGATTAAGGGGGACTTATCTCTGAATTCTGTCTGAGATCATGGTCTCTGTATGTTTAAAACCCTTGTGATGGTCTTTACTCTATTCTTGAATCATACTTCTTGTGGCAAGGAGTGAGGGACTGGTGCCTGGAGGTGTGCCTGTAAATGGGCCAATCACTAAGAACCATCAACAACTGAGTTATGTGGCCCAAGCAGAACAATGGGATGGCTGCAACAGTAAAGAAAGAGACAGTGCCTGGAGCCTACCCAGACCTAGGGGAACTGAAAAGCACAAGGCTCTAGTGCACGGATCCACACACGGCAGCCTGGTGTGTGTCCAACAAGGGGGAGCTCGACCAGGTCTTTGTCAACTGTTGTATCATGGAGGGAGAAAGTGTGAGATTTGGTCATGGACTGGATGTGAGGGAAGAGTAGAAGATTACCCTAGTGTCATGAGAATGAGTTGCCAAAAGGATGAAAGTTTTCAGCAGTGGAGAACAGTAGCAATACTGAGGCGGAAATGCTGATCAGTTGGTAGCAAGCCATCCAAGCTGACGACTGCAGAAAGAATCACAAAGGTAAGAATGAACAGAGACAATTCCAGTGTGGAGAAATAAACTGGAGAGTCCTAGCAAAATGACAATGACTGAACTGATTTGAGCAAATGAGGTCACCCAAGAACTATGTCTCAAGCATGAGCCAAGGACAGAGCCTTCTGGGACTCCCAAAGACAGTGCTAAAAATCATTGGCTATGCCGCCAGAAGTCCTAATGACACACACACAGGAAAGCGCAGCACCAGTGAGGACACATAGTAACTCAAGCAGGGTTCTGCAGTGTGGCTGCTCACTACCAGGCTAGGCTAACCCGAGTGCTCAGACACAGATGCCCCATCACTTGAATTAAATTCTTCATGGAAGACATACCCTGAAGGAGCCAAGGGAGGAGGAGAGAGCCAAACAAAGTACTGCATAAAGTGACAACTATGAATAGTATTAATCTGTACTGGGACCTGTGCTGTTCAACATATACATTAACGATCTGGAAGAAGGGGGTGAACAGTGAAGTGGCAAAGTTTGCAGACAATACAAAATTATTCAAGATAGTTAAGTCCAAAGCAGACTGCGAGGCATTACAAAGGGATCCCACAAAACTAGGTCACTGGGCAACAAAATGGCAAATTAAATTCAACGCTGATAAGTGCAAAGTAATGCACATTGGGAAAAACAATCCAAACTATACATACAAAACAAAGGGGTCTCAATTAGCTGTTGGGATCCAAGAAAAAGATCTTGAAGTCACCATAAATAATTCTCTGAAAACTTCTGCTCAATGGGTGCTCCTGTTACGCAATGGGTGAGCGCATGGGACTTATAGAGCAGCACTGAGTAGAGACTGGCTGAGGTTGTGAATTCAAGCCTCACTTAGAACACTGGTTTTCATTAACCAAATGGCTTCACCCACACATTTAAAAAACAAAACAAAGCAAAAACAGCAGCCAAAAAGGCTAACCATATGTTAGGAACTACTATGAAAGAGACAGAAAATATCATACTACCACTACATAAATCCATGGTGTGTCCACACCTTGAACACTGTGTCCGATTCTGGTCGCCCCATTTCAAAAAGGATATAATGGGAAAGGTTCAGAAAAGAGCAACAAATATGATCAAGGGGATGGAACAACTTCCTTTGAGGAGAAACTAAAAAGATTAGGGCTGGTGAACCTATAAAAGAGATGACTGAAGGGGAATGTGATAGAAGTCTAATAAAATAATGAATGGTGTGGAGAAAGTGAACAGAGAAGTGTTATTGACCCTTTCACACAATACACAGCCCAGGAGTCACCCAATGGAATGAATAGACAGCAGGTTTAATACAAACAAGAGGAAGTATGTTTTCACACAACACACATCTAACCTGGGGAGCTCATTGCCATGGCATGTTGTGATGGCCAAAAGTATAACTGGGCTCAGAAAAAGAACTGGATATGTTCACGGAGGATGGGTTCATCAATGGTCTTAGCCCAGATGGTCAGGGATGCAATTCAATGTTCGGGGCAACCCTAACCTCTGACTATCAGAATCCAGGAGTGGAACACTCCATAATTGCCCTGTTCTGTACATTCCCCTCTGAGACTGTGGTATGGGCCACTGTCGGAGACACGATACTGAGCAAAATAGACCATGGTCTGACTCAGTATGGCAACTGTTATGTTTCTGTGTTCTTATAGTAGTAGTCTATTTGAGTACAAGGCAGTAAAAGTGAAAAGTTGTAACAATTTTAACAATGCAGCATATGCAATGTTAAAAAGTCTTTCAAGAAAGCCTACTAGCAGAATACAAACGCTTTAGGAAATGATCAGAATGAAGACTCAGAACAATGCGTAGATTTTCTTTATAAATATTTATGACACCTGTTTTTGGTATCCATCTCAGGAGGTTCTATCGAATGCCACAATTCAATAATGCATGTTTTGGAAAATGTTTCTTTTTTTTTAAAAATAAGAAACTGCTGAGCTTTTTATACCCTTCTTATAAATGGAAGATGCTTTAAATGTACCAGGTGTGAATAAAATACAAGTAAATTCATAGGTATGAAACACATTTTAAAACTCATTTGAACTTAGAAATCATTTCAAAATAAAGTTTAAATATTTCTCTTGGAAAAATATGTGTGTGTGTATATATGTATATATAAAGATTTAAACTGCTATTTATTTATTTATTGAATTATGTAAATAATTATTTGAAACCTGATCTAACTCCCACTGAAGTCAACCTGAGTCTTTCCATTTACTTCAGTGGAAAGTGGATTGGGCCCTTGATTCACAAAAGAATGGTTACAGAGGATGAAGCTAGTTTCCTTTGGGGCTTAACTGTAAATGGTTATGTAATACTGCCACCTTTCCTTCTTACTTCTGCACTGGTAAGTGTAGAGAATGGAACATAACTTTTGAAGAAATCATTCATCAACTCGCTCTGTAAATATTTATTTATATCATAGATGTTTCTTTGGAATTCAGAAGAGTTCTCAAACAACTGCTATAAATTAGGTGGCAACATTAAGTGTTGTCAAAATTTAGGGTGACCAGATGACAAGAACAAAATATCGGGACACATGGGGCGGCAGCCACAGGCTAACCCCCTCACCAGGGCTGACTCTTGGTTTTTTGCCTCCCCAAGCAAAAAAAAAAAGCCGCAGAGCCGCCGAAGTAAAATATCGGGACAAATGACGCAGGACAAACAACTAAATATCGGGACGTCTGGTCACCCTATCAAAATTGCACATTAAAGGCCAGATCTTCAGAGTTTAGCCTCAGTGTTTTTGAGCAAATTTGTATCCACAGTTATGTGTGTCTGCAATTTCCTATCCTATCTTGGTCCCTGATTTGTGGGTGCAATATTGAGATCACAGGAATGGAGACCAAGTAAGGCTAGGCAGAAAATTGGCCTTACATCTTGAAAGGTTCATTTTTCACTATGTTCAAACAAAAATACAAACCCCAAAGGAAAGATAACCTGCTCTAGAATGGACTGCAAGTAAATCAGTGTCTCTATAGGCAAGATATTTACCTCCTCTTCAGTGACTACAGTTGACAGCTGTAGGGGTTATCTATTTAATAGGAAGAT